TCACTCGTATTCCTTACTTATTCGTCTTTAAACGTTCAAGGCAATCATGGATGCTGATTTAATCATTAGTATTCAGAAAGAGCGACTGAGGAAAGTCACGGAAAATGGTAAAAAGTATTTCCAAATCGTGATTTTTACTTAAAATTTATTTTTTATTGCATTTTAAGCCTTTTTGCTGTAGTTAGTTTATTAATTATAACATAGTCTTCTAGAAACATAGGTGAGAGAATTCTCGTAGACTTGAAACCACTTAATTTTTAGTAAAGTTTGATCGGTTCCCGAATGTTGTGGGTTAATTTTCTCCCGACCTCCTATTTATTAAACTTTACCTATAAACAAAGTATTTTTTCCCGCCTCCTGTTATGGCCGGCACCAAAGTGTTGGCAAACAACTGGCGTTTGTCTGTTGTCCGCCTACGTCTGGCGTCTTATAGCCTGATTATATCCAAATTGCTGTGAAACTGCTGTAATTTCTATAATGTGCCCGGTCTGCTCTATTATATACTTACAGCGCGGACTGTGTGGCGGGCAGATGTGGAACAGAAAGCGTTCATGTGAAATCGTGCTCACAACAAACGCGTCTTACTACACAGACGTGCAATTTACATGTATTTCAGATCAAGGAACACTTGTATCTGATTAAGTTCAAAACAAGGAAAACGGAAACCAAAATGTGGGGCACCCTATATGCTATTTTATAAATGTGACACAGTTTATAAGAATGTTTACTTCGACAACGAATCACAAAATTAAAATAAATATCGAAGGAAGAAACAAACTCGATATTTTTTTAATCCATTTGTGGTTTACTTAACCACGATTTAAATTATTAAGATTATATACAGTCGAAAGATAGGATGATTAATGAATATTGAATTGGAAAGGATATGGAAGGAAGCGGTCGTGACCTACTTTAAGGTACTATCATGTCATTTTTCTGATGATGAGTTTAAAAATCTGTACTCCTCCCCCAATATTTGTCAGGGTGATTAAATCGAGAAGAATGAGATGGGCTGGGCATGTAGCGCGCATGGATGGGACAAGAGGTGTGCCCCAGGTGTTGTTCGGGAAGCCTGAGGGGAAGAGACCCCTGGGGAGACCTAGACGTAGATGGGAGGATAATCTCAGGCGGGATCTATGGGAGGTAGGAATTGAAGGAGACTGGATTTTGTTGGCCCAGGACAGGGACCGGTGGAGGACTTTGGTTAATTCGGTGATGAACCTTCGGGTTCGGTAAGCCATCTAGTTAGTTAGGTAGCTAGTTATCATATCATTTTCCTAAAGGGACAGAAGAAAACCACGAAAACCTTAGACATTGTAGGACTCCGGACCAAGATTTGAACCCGGGAGATCCCATAAAGGATGCAAGGACTCTTCTTTAATAAGTTTTAGCAAATTTACTAATTTTTCCTTAATTAAACGTGATCGGAAATTCAGAAAGACAAAGGGTTCATATGAAGCCCACACACGGCACGCACCTATTAAGAATACGAACGCGTATATTTTCATACCGCATTTTTGTCGATTGAATTTCTCATACAGCTGTGAAGCGGATGCAGTATGACGTACTACCTTCCTTCCAGCTGTGAACGTGAATCACGTTATTTATTAAGTTAATAAGATACCGGCTCTTCTTACCAATTAATAGGTAAATAATAATTAGTTTTTATTCTGTTTTTGTTATTTTTATGTAAATGTATATATTTTATTCGTAGAAGTTGTCGGATTATGAAGAATACGAATGATTTTGTGTCTGAAGCGTAAGAAAGCGTTGAGTGTTTCAAGCAGATTTTTGATTAAAGTTGAGGTTAAATGAAGTAAACGGAATAATCTTTATAATAAACAAATAGTATTAAAGGAGTAAGTAACGTTAATTTCCTTCATTATGTAATGATATAGTCCTTTGAGGTTAAAGATGTCCAGTCCCCTTTTAAATGTAGTTATATTATGTGACAAAGGTGTAGTAATAAAACTCTTGTCTGTTTACATTCATTGTAGCACATACTGCAAAATTCCATTACTTTGAAGTCTCTTATTGGGTGTTATGTTTTAAAGATTGACAATTTCTTATTAGATTTGTTATATTGTATTAACCAATGAAGGAAATATCAGGAAGCTCAGAACCAAATTAACATTAAGACAAGGATTTTCTTAAGCTTGTTTCCATGATACCTCTAATGGTTCCTGTTTGATCTGAGATTCTCACAGTGGCTTAAATGTGGATTGTGGTCATCTTGACTGTGATGCTGTGTAGTCTTGTAAGTGGTTACAGATGTTTCAGAGGAATGCATTGCTTGCTGAAGATTAGATAATACATTTCTTTGGTGTGGTGGTTTTATTTACATTGCAAGGCATGTGAAGTTTGTGGAATATAGCCTAAAATGTTCTTATGATGCTGAGAGTATCCAGAAAAATTCTAGTTGTTGTGAAACTTAACCAAGTGTCCGACCATGTAGAGGTTATATAGTTGATATTTAGAAAATGTAAATCATCATTTTATTAAGGTAATTTAGCTTGAAATGTTAATTATTTATTATTAACAGGGATGGACATATATTATGTTGAACAGTAATATGATTTATTGCAACATTATATTTGCAAATTGCATTGCAAGTGCAAAATTTATAAAATTGAATGTGAAAACATCTTTGCAGCCAGATTCCTACACCAACACAAAACTTAGCACCTGTTTCCGGACTCTGCCATATCCCACCATAGGCACCACCATAACTTCCTTTGCACTTCTTGCTACCAGAGTCACCAACATCAGAATTTAATTTCAATTTTTTCCTCTCCGCATGGACAGTTCATTCGTACAAGCCAAGCTTGATGGACGATGCCTGTTATATTAGGAGCAGATTATCCTATTGTTTAACGTTGTGTAGTTTAAGCTACTAACAGTGTCGTTAAGTAAACTGTAATGGAATTAAAAACATTTCCACGCTGTTTATGTTATGTCAGGAATTCAAATACTGTCCTAACATTGTGATAGGCCTAATAGTTGTTTGTTCTATTATGTTTTATATTCGAGTTCTACTTTTATACTTCCATTGTTTTTATCCTGGTCAATTCAAGGGGCGATGAGCCCAACTTGCATTTGGAAGGTTTGTGTCTTTTTTGTACATTACTGATGGCTTCAGCAGACTCCAGGGTTGGTGACGTAGATCATCACAGCCATCGTGAAGTGCGCAGGATTAGCTTTAATCGCACATCCCTAAACATCTGCCTGTACTTGGTCTCTACATTTTCTTTTGTTTTCTGTGTCTGCTGTGGTATTTTGTTTGTACTCGTCAGAGATCAGAAAACCCACTCGTCCGCTTCTCTGTGACGAGCGAGTTTGGTGATAATATTATTTATTATTGACATATATGAGGGATCTTTTGAAGTGCTGTAGTTGGAGCATTTTGGGGTGGGGGTGGGGGGGTAAGAGACCAGTAGTTGGGAGACATACACATACATAGAAGGATAATATTAAAATGGATCTTTGATAAATAGGTTGTGAGGGTGTTTTTTTTTATTTAGAGTCAGAGTGTATGGTTCTTTCGCTCACATTGTCAGAACCCCCTGGTTTGTTCAAAGTCATCTGTGTTTTTATTTTTGAACCTGCAATTGCAAAATGGGTTTGCAGAGAGTGAATGTTAAATTTAACCAGTCTAATGATACTTGATCATGATTTTGAAGCATGTATTTTATCTATAGATATGTAAATATTATTTTATTTCTATTTTAAACTGTTCACATTTTATGTTCTTTGTATTTATAATTCCATTAATGTGGAAAATAACTGTGTGTGATGCATTGATGTATTTTCTATGGTTTGTAGTGTTGTTATTTGTTTTACATGCCATGAGCATGTGATATTTTAGTCTGCTCTTTAATGTATTGAGTTCTTACAGGAAAGAAAATTGTAGAAAAAAAATATAATTTTTTTCTAATATCGCTGGTATAGCCAGTGAAATTTTGTTGCTTGTATCATCATTATATCATGATAAAACATTGGTCCATATCAAATTACGTAGCTCCAACATTTGCAGCTGTTTCTGGGAGTGGATAGCTTTTAAAATAGAGAGCTTCTGCCTTTTGGCTGCAATTATGCTACGAATATTATCGTATTTTGTACTAGAGGCATGTTTCGTATTTTCATGCTATCACGATAACCACTGGATATTCCATAATCTGTAAGAAGTCTGCGTGTGTACTTTTTTATGCAAATCAAATTTCCTTTCTTCTTAATTATTATGATTGCTTGTTATGTGTGTGGCTGGAAAGTGGTATTATACCAAAAGGGTAATATTTTTTTTAATGAGGAGGTGAAATAACACTCGCTCGGTCCAACTTAATAATTCTTGTTGGAGCGTATGTCAATTGCTTATGGGTGCCTAATGCCAGGCTGGATGCGCGCGCATCGTCGATTATTATGCCAACATCATGGGCTGTGGTTACTTCAATAGAGCATTAAACTTCTCTGCATTGGCTGCCCTGCTCCTTGTCTCAGCCGATGTTGGCCCTCGGTGGCTCTGAGCTATTGGAGCTGTAACATTTGTCCTCCGGCAACTAAGAGCAGGGGTGATCAACATTTTTGTGGCCACTTAAATTTGGCAAGCCTAGAAATACAAGTAGCTACCACGAATTTGAACAAGACCGGATAGTGTCTCGAAATTCATACAGAATTAAGTCGGAGGACCTGAAAATAAGAGACTGTCTGGAGACCTAAACATAGATGGAATAGTATTATTAAAGTTGATCTTAAACAGAATATGAGTTTGTGGGTTGAATTAATGTGCCTCAGTGGTGCATTCTTGTGGACACGTATGAAAAGTTATAAATTACGTCACCGTTGGCTTTTAAATGACTATATTCCATGGAGTTGGTTACTTCATATCACTCAATGAGGTTGTTTCTGAGTCAAATGAATATTGTAACCTGATAAATTCGATATTGTGTTATAGAAATGTATGTAAGCTTTTCTTTAACATTGGCAGAGAAATTCTGGAGTCTGCGTTACAAAACCTTAGCTGATCTTATATCCTCTGCCCTCGGTTCATCTGCTTGATTGGATGTTATTGTCTCCACAGAAGAATGATACGTAGTCTTTTTATAAAACAAATTTGTTTTCGGATCTTGTGGTAATATTGAGGCAATTTTTTTAATTGTTCCCTCTCAGAGCTTTTGCTGTTTGGGTGGGGTCACGCGAAGTGTAATTGGTCGTAATTGCAACGCGACTAATTTCCCATGGTAAACAGTCCGGTAAACTTTGAATTAATGTAACAGTGAACGGTAGGACAATTCTGAGAATTCCAAATTATCCGTTTGGATCAAGAAATTTTTAAGTTCTTTTCACGATGTACAAATTTCGAAATTAGTTATTTCCGTGATGTTATTAACGCAGTGAACATTACTTCGCCTATGAATTGGGCCCATTTTTATGTCTCCGTTCTAAATTGTTAAGGACCTAGTTCTGTAATTTTCTTCTTAAAATTTCTGTACTCATTTGGTGTTTTAAGATATACCGATGAGGGAACTGACTATTTACGTCTAAAATTCAGCTGCTTCGACAAAAATAAGACCTGCTTTGTTGATCACCCCTACAATACGTCGATCATCATCTCGAATTTTCCCCTTGCCTATTGCATGGTTTTAAAACGAGAAAAACAATCATGCATGTAAATTTTTAAAGTTGCTGCAAAGAACTTGTACGATGATTGGTTGTGCTCTCCATGTATGAGGAATCTGGTTTCGAAATTAGACGTTTGTGTCTTTGAACGCCCGCCAGCTTTCTCCGGATAATTACATTAATACCGATTCATTCTTCTGTGTAGAATTGCAGGCTTTGTATCGAGACACCCGCATTTGAGCGCAGGTTTGTGTGGACGAGATTAAAAGATTTTTCGTTTATGTAAGAGTGGAAGGAAATTTTATCAGAGAGAGAGACAGAAAACCACATACCGTAGGGTGAATCGGGGGGGTAATTGTGGTAGTGAAGACTGTAATGTAGCAACTATTAAAAGAATTGGGTTTTCTAAGTATTCTGAAACACCGAAACTCCCTTGTGTTCGTAGGGGAGTCTTGTGAAGTTCGTAAAATGATTCAGCGCATTTTGTGGTAACAAACTGTACGTAAACCACCATTATTTTGTAGTCGGTCATAAGATAGAGGTGTTTAGGCAGCTTCACGCTTCGTTCGCATTAACTTCAGGTAGCTTTGTTAGTACAGAGACCAGGTTACGTTCTCGACTACAAGGATTCGATTCCCGTCAGCGGCAGGAACGCCAGCTCTCTGTCTAGTGGATACCCCCCGACGTTTCGGACCATATTGTGTCCAGCAGAGGGGCAAGTGGACCGCTTTGTTTATCGCAGTTAAAAAAATTCGATGTCCTGGACGTGTTTGTGAGGGATCCGAACCATGATCGTCCAGCACAGTTTTCTATTGAGTTACCCCGACCCGCAGACTTCGTGTGTCAGTATTTAAATTAATGTGTGCACGCAGAACATTAGTTTCAGGTAGAGATGAACAGTTTTTGTTCGTGTAACATCGAATATGCGGACAGACGTGCATTACATTAATCTCACAGTGATTTATATGAAACGCAACATTTAACATCGAATATGCAGACAGACGTGCATTGCATTAATTTCACAGTGATTTATATGAAACGCAACATTTAACAAGCCTGTGAATTTTGGATCTACGTTTTTATCATCGTTTACGATAGTATCCAGTTGTAAACAGATGATGAAGTTACGTGTGTGATGACAGTGTTTGTTAAACATCGAATGCCATGTTTATTGGTGTATGTGAAAGCATTATGAATTAATTAGCTTGTTGTCTGCCTAAACTCCTCGCTTTATATCATATTTTATTTTCGAATATATAGTTTTGCTGTAAGGAAAATAATTCTTTCACGTTGGGTAGCTTTAGAGGGGCGTTTAGACCTCTGATTTAACACCTAATGGTGTCGTTTCCTTCTCCTGCAGTTCAGTTGACGTCCGTGTTGTCACCCACTTAACATTTTTATCAGGATTACGCACAGGACCTATGGATTGTGGTCTGTCTTTTGAGTTGTAACGTCTTGTATCTTTTTGCAGACTTATCACCTCCATCTTCATAGTGGTAATACGTTCTTGGTAGTCACATACAAGTCCACACGGCGTCATGACTCGGAAGGCAGACCGCAAACTAACCTAACCTCAAATCTCATGTCTCTTGTCACGTGACTCGTCCTGTGATCAGGATTCTACCTGCCTCGATGGATTGCTAGCACGGGGAGGTGTCTCTGGGCTGCATCCAATTGCCAGAGGCCTTTATTTACATCAAGTTTCTTGGGCTATTAGCATATTTGATTTTTCCTGTGTGGTATTATTTATTCTGTATTTTTTTTTTATCTCCAGTTGATTTGGCAATGGCGCCCAAGAAGATTGAAGCCCCCGAAAAGAAGCCTCTGATTGGTCGTGTTGGAACCAATCTGAAAGTCGGTATTGTGGGCATCCCAAATGTCGGCAAATCTACTTTTTTCAACGTTCTGACCAAGAGCCAAGCAGCAGCTGAGAACTTCCCGTTCTGTACCATCGACCCAAACGAGAATAAGTAGAACTCTTTCTTTCTTTCTTTCTTTCTTTCTTCCTCTTCTTCTTTTTTTTTTAAAGACGTCTTCTGTAACCGGAACCGTCGTCTTAATATTCAGTGACTCCGATGCAGAATTTTAAATGTCGTTCTTTTGTTTAGCGACGCTGTATCAAGCGATTAGTTAATAAAAACATCTGTCAAATGGTAGGATAATTATGGATTATGACTTTTGTAGGACGTGGTTGAAAACGTAAAGACTATAAAATGTGCAGAACTGAAATGTTATCTGTTTTTTTGTATGGGTGTGAAACTTGGTCTCTCATTTTAAGGGAAGAACGCAGATTTGATGGTGTTTGAGGCGAGGATTTTGGTTTCAGAGTTGACGTTTTATTTTTATCTGCGTATTTTGTGTGAAAATGTAATCCTGACTTCTGTTTTGTGGTGTTGCATGTATTTGCTTGGAAGTTTGCTGTTAATCCAATCAGGTTCGAAGTACAGTCTGACTCATAAGTCTCTTGTGTCTGTGACTAGAATGTTTGCAACCCTGTGATGTCTTGTAAAGATTCTGTAATCGCACGAACACCAGATTATAAATTCGATATTTTTGCTCGAAGTCGTGAGGTGGTACTTCGGACAGGTGCATCATAGTGGACTGACATTTTTGTAGAATGTAAATAATTCGTGCATGCCAAACTCTGGTCGGGGATCCTGAAGTAACTTGGAAGACCTAAGCTTAGATTGAGGGATAATATTAAAATGAATCTTTAGTAGGGATGAAGGATGTGATGAGGTCTAGTGGCGGATTTATGTACACGGTAATGAACATTTGTTTTCCAAAAGAAGGCCTGTTTTTTTTTTGAGTGCGTGTAGAAACTTCTGAAGGAGAGTTCTTCACGGATGCAGTTACTTTCTCAGCTGTGTCGTGCGCTCTACATGTTTTGTCCATCTCATACCTAGGCCCTGTACAACCGTTTTAATCACGCACAGCTCGGCTAAATCACAAAGAACTCGAACAGCGTCTCTGCTATTGTCTCGTAAGATTTGACATTAAATACACAACATAAAAACATGACTAAAGCGTTATGTTAACATGCTGTAGTTAGGCTGTGCGATCAAACATGAAAGTTGTTCTTTCTAAATGCGGACGACAGAGAGATCTGTCTTAACCTTCGTTACGTTTATCCAGGGTTTTCTTACACGCGTAAAAGAAATATCACATCTGGTCTTTCACGAAATGTCTCGACCGCACTTTGAATACATTTATGACCACAGAACCGCCCATGTATACCCCCCAAAATTTGTTCCGATTTCATAATTACGAAACTTGATAAAAAAAGGTCCAGGTCTCAATATTATATGCTCTGGGTATATGGAAATGTGTTGTCTTAGACATGATAGCGTTCTTGCGTTTTCTGTTGCAAAGGGAGAAGTAAAATACATATAATAGACCACCTATTGTGTATATGACAAAGGTAAAATACACTAATTTAAGATACGTCTTCTGTGGGAAGCGTTTACCATTAAGATAGATCAGTTACCTTATTAGAGTCACGAATGATGAAGATTGAGGCAGAGATTCGGTTCTTTGACGGGAATTTGGTGAGTAAGGGACGATTTGTGGGGGAGGGGGGGCGCTACTGTTTAAATGGTGGGAACAAGAATTTTGATTTGTGGATACCAACTCAGCATTTAGATCTAGGGCCGAGGAAAACCACGGAAACCTTGATAGAATTGGCTGATCTTAGGACCTTTCCGGATGCGTACCGAGTTCTGTCCGGCACTCAAATACGCGGACCCTAACCGTGCTGTCATCTTATCAAAAATTAATAAAAAAATTTTTACGTGGGTATAATTTGGATAGGAAACGAACAGTTTGGTTCGTTGCTAATCCAGTTAACAAAAATCATGTTCTAATTGCCCTTCCCGTGTGGTATTTCATGCCTTGTGAGGTCCACGGTAGGTCCAGCGTAGGGGAATTGGAAGTGTGTGTTGCGAGGTTAGTGTTTCAGATTTCAAAATTCTACGTAGGCGCTCCATTGACCGTTTAATGAATAAATTATTGTTTGTGTATTACGTGTTTAAGATTTCACGATTAGGTGGTTATCTTGCAAAATGGGATTAAGGTCAGAGGGTTGTATTTATCGCTGCTGTGATCATACTGCCCCTAGTACCAGAATCTGGCACATGTCGCTGCTAGCCGATTTTGAATATCGTAGTTTTTTTTATCGATGTCATTTCGATATATTCGTGTTTAGTGTTAATATTGGTGTTGCCGTTGGAAATGTTGTTATTCTCAGGACTTTATTATGAAATATGTGTAATTTATGTAAGATTCCGCCTTGTGAAGATTAGTGAAAGAAATTATTTCGTTGTCGCCTGCTTGAAGATGCCCTAAGCAGCCGTCTCGAAGAAAAGGATGTTGAGATTCGATAAATCGAAATGCGATTCTTGTTCGATACACGCAGCTCGATCGATACTGCCTTTTTCATTAACCCTTTGAAGCCGAAGATCGTCTGAATATTATTTATGAATTCAGTCCGTACCGCGAAGAAAACACTACACCTCACCATTACGAAAATCAGCTGGTTAACCCTTTGAAGCCGAAGCTCGTCTTCATAATATTTACGAATCCAGACCGTACCGCGAAGAAAACACTTCACTTAACCATTAGAAGTCGAATCAGGCGGTACCACATAAGATTTAACCAAAGAACATCCCGGTCAAAGCCTTAATGTTCTTGCTGACCGCTGATCGGATTAAATGATTCTGTCCTTTCGAGGGTGTCCGTTTTACTCGTTCTGAAATGAATTCATACCCAATCGGAGCGTAAAAAAACAGCTGTTGACCAAATCATGCAATACTTTGTTATCGTTTCGCGGTGAGTCATCAAGGTAGGTCTGGTGTTTATGTATGTAACGCGAACCAAAATTTCCTGACGTCAGTCAATTTTTTTCTCTTCGTTTGTCGTAATTATTTACCTTCTTTGGTATCGTTTTAATGTATTTTTCTGTTCGTTGTGTGTTTATTCTTTGATGATAAACATTATTACTAGTCTTGCTTCAAGGTGAAAGCAATTAAAGGAATACAAAGAAACGAGAGTTTTTGGGGGAGGGGAATGTTGTAAAAACCTACTGTACCCACACGAAGCAGATAAGACTCTGCCACAGGAGAGGGGGGATTTGGGGGGGGGGCAGTCGGCAGTGCCGGACGAGAACCCGACTTTCATCTCAGTCTGATGTTTTTTTTATACTGGTAATTATATTGTCTTACTCATTATAGACAGAAAATGCATGTAATTCTTTAGGGGCGGTGTACGTAGCAACGGGAGCAGCAGTGGCACGAAAACGTCGGGAGCGTACAGTTGGTTCTTGAAACAGAATGAAACATTTTCGACTTCTGTAAGTTTTTTTAGGAAGAAGGTGTTGAGTCAGTCCATATCCTTACAGCCTACTTAAGAAGCACTCGATACCTGCTGCCTGTCATATATGAGGCTTCTAGAAAACGCCCGCATGACAAAATGAACCTGAAGATGGCATCGAAAATTTTTGTCGAAACGTTCGATAATTTTTAGATGTTCGACGGTGCTCGTTCGTTCCCTGAATCTTATGTTTCACGTATCAGTAAGGAAAATCCTGATTAACAGGGGAAGGCGGAATAAAAACTGCCTAAGTCACAGCATCTATTTTTATAAATGAGACGTGTACAAGGCGTACAATAAGGATTCCGGTTAGATTGAGCTGAGTTGTCATTAAAGTAGCGAAGGAGGGTAGAGGGATGGATGGGGGAGAAGCAAAGAACCAGATAAGGAATACAGAATAATAAAAGTAAAAGAAAAGATATAGTCCAGGTTTGCTTTGTACCTTTGTTCTTTATAAAGGTGCAAGTTGCAAGGAATGACAGTCTTTGTGACGAGTGTCTGTACTTTGCAGGGACAGAGACAGAGACGCACAGCCTCAAGTGTCGGGATTATAAAAATCGTGTTTCTCATTTGACGCACTTGTGCGCGAGGTTTGTGATTCTTCAGTGATCGAATGCACTCCGAAGGCTTTTTTTAAAGTGTAAATAGAGAAATGATTGATCTTGCATCGAACTTACACTGAAATCTGGAAATTTTGGTATTGAAATAATTTACATCCAGTGAAATTTGCCTATTTTTTTTATCTAACCTCGGACAAACGCTGTTTGGTTAAACACCTTTGTCGTTTAAGTGACCATAAAACACTCGTATTTTCAGAGTTTAATCGCTGTGCAAGATAAGTGTGTAATTTTATTAATGATATTGCGCCTTGTTATTTTTTAACCTGAAATATTTAAGAATTTGGTCCGTACCGAAAAGAAAACACGACACTTCTCCGTTACAAAGAGACAAACTCGTTGTTATAATCGATGTTTATTCTGAGAATCGTACTAAACCAGTAATTAAACTTCGAGCAAAATGAACAGTTACTGAACGTTAAAGAATAGGGTACATATAATTACCACATTTCTCTAAAGAGTGAAGGGGTTTGTGCGGGAATTAACAGCCTTTCAACGCAGGAACTATCATGTTGCGAAGTACCGCAGTGGACCCGGTTCGAGAATGTGGATTTGAGGGTAGTTTGATCTAAAGTCGTCGTAGACTCATGTACGGGACATTGATGTTCCGTAAATGGCGGGAGATCTCTTGACCAGCTGACCGACTCTCAGCTTCTGAATAAGGACTGTGTTCGATGTTGTTCTGGGTTTCTAGCGACAGATGCGCGAACTTGGGATGAATCCGGTGTGGTGACCGCGTTGTTTTGTTCCAGATACGTCGAGTACCAGTTCCGGACGAGAGATATGATTTTCTGTGTAACTACTACAAGCCACTCAGGTGAGTCATTGACATATATTTCAAGCGTCTTAACCTTCTGAAGCCCAAACCTTGTCTAAATAGAATTTAAGAATTCAGTCCGAACCGCGAAGAAAACACTACACTTCACCATTAAAAAGATCGAATGGTTAACGCTGTTTAAGGAAATAATCGCTGTTTACAGTGAGAATCTTACGAAATCTACAAATACATTCTACTGTCAGAACGCAGAGTTATTGAATCTTAAAGCTAATGTTACATAAAATTACCAATGTGCTTTAAATCTGCTTTTACCGTAAGTAATTCTAAGTTTTGTTTTTATCTCTCGCTATAAACAGCGATTATTTTCTTAAACAGCGTTAACCAGTTGATCTTTGTAATTGTGAAGTGTAGTGTTTTCTTCGCGGTACGGACCGAATTCTAAAATATTTATACGAACTTCGGCTTTAAAGGGTTAACCCGTTAACAAATTTTATTCCGATGTGACGATTTGTAAACAGAGTGATAACCGCTCTACAGGAAGTTATTTACGTAAGAAAAATTTATTAGGCTGTAACTTTTCCTCTTCGTATGCTGAGTTGTTGGCAGCCCTGCTGTCTGTCCGCGTGTCTCATTGAAATCAGAGCGAGGATACGGGCTACCTTTACTGAGTTTCTTTTGTGGTTTTTCTCAGTCCCTCCAAGCGAATTTAGGGGTAGTAACCTACCAGATTTTATGACACGTTGACGCAATTTCGTGTACTTTGTAATTAATTTGTCATTCGATGGTATTTTGTCTGAGCTTCTGACAGCATCGGTAAATTACGAACGATGGTTCGTTTACCGCAGTTTAAGAACCGATGTGTACATTTGGCAATGCAGTTGATCGTGTATCAGAATAAATGAAGACCTGTTTGTGTTTTGATTCGCGTTGTCCGTTTAACGAGCTTGGAGAAGCCTGGCGCAGTGAATTTGCGTGTGAACGGATAGGGCAGTGCTGGAGGGTGGACAGATTGGTTGGTGTGAAGGAACATATTTAATAAGGGTGTCGCCAATTCGTTCTTGTCTCTAGGCGCCAGGAAGGCGCTGGGGATGGCGTGGCTCCGAACAATCTTCCCGTTTCTTCCACCCCGTCGCCCCCCGCGACCCAATGCCTTTCTCCTCACTCCTCACTCCTGTCTGAATTACGAGTGATTGAAGCGCTTTATGGTCTGAGACAGGTCTCTTTGAAGACTTTCAACTATACTTGGTCTGCTGATAATCGCTTCCAGCGATGTCCTTACCAGGTTAGACGTAGTCGTGGTCGCAGATTTGAGATATTTGTGACAGATCAAATTTACATTGACAGCGAAATTAAGAGCGCAGTAATTTTTTGGGAATGCTTCCTTCCGAACAGATGAGAATCGCATATTTTCCCAGCGGATCTGTAAAAAAAACCAAAAAAAAACAACGTAAAGACTAAATTGTACCAAAATGTTATTTTATCTGCTGTTTTGTATGGGTGTAAAACTTCGTCTCTCACGTCAAGGGAAGAACACAGTTTGAGGTCGGGGTCCTGTGGAGATTATTTGTACCCGAGAGGGGTAAAGCGATAGGACACCGAGAAAAACAAACTTAAGCATTGAGTAAATTATTTTACTTTCAACTAGACGGTATTACGATGAAATAAATGTGAATTAGACGGCGTGGGGACCTAAAAGAAATGCACACTAGACTTTGGTTAGGAAGACTGAAGGAAAGAGACAACTCGAGAGACCTAAGCGTAGATGGGATGATAATTTGAAACGGCGGGTTTGAGCCTATTTCGTAAAGTCTGGCATTTTATTAAACGTTACAAAGAAGGAACTTTCTGAGCCTGAAAATTCACAGATCTGTTTGTATTCTGCCGAGGGTCTTTGCACGGAAGACTTTTCGCTTCGTGAGAAGTGAAGCGTTTCTTGTTAGAAATAGTTCGTCTTTTTTTTTTCAACGTGACGCAGTTCT